TGAATCAACTTTAAAATTCTTCACCTCATATCCAAGGTCTTGAATAATCAGACCCAGTCTTATCTTAATGACCTCATAGTATTCTATGATCCCAATACAGCATGCGACTCTCAGACTGCTGGTTTACTTGTGGTTCCTAGGATATTTAAAAGTAGAGTGGGAGGCAAACCTTCAGCTTTTCAGCCCTATTTAGGGAACTAGCTCCCAATTCTAATTCAGGAGGGAGACACCTTTCTAATTTAATATTAATTAATATATTATGATAAATGGTAGAGCAGGGTGATATGACCAAAAATATTTATCATGATATATATTTGAAAATTTGCAATAACAATATAACTGACAATATAATTGACACTAGACAAAACACTTTACAACTTTATTAGTGCAAAAAACATCAATGTATTTTCACTTAAACAAGCAGTAGTTTTTATGTGCATTAAAGTTATATAAAACTTAACAGTGCAAATGCAAATTCCTTGCTGACAGTTTAACCAAAAGGCATTTCCAGTGAAAACTGGCCGACATATAATAATAATAATAATAATAATAATAATAATAATAATAATGGATTGGATTTATATAGCGCTTTTCAAGGCACCCAAAGCGCTTTACAATTCCATTATTCATTCACTCTCGCATTATACACTTGAAGGCAAGCTACAGTTGCAGCCACAGCTGCCCTGGGCAGACTGACAGAACGAGGCTGCATATCGCGCCATCGGCCCTCTGCCAACACCAGTAGGCGGTAGGGTAAAGTTTTGCCCAAGGACACAACGACCAGGACAGAGAGCCGGGGATCGAACCGGCGACCTTCCAGTTACCGATGCGCTTCCCAACCCCCAGCACCACGGTCGCCTAAATCCTCAGCATAACCATATATTAATCCACAAAACTTAAAGAGGTTATACACACACACAATCCGGTAATATTATGCTGAACCCAGTACGATCACTCCGCGAGGTTCTGCTTACGATAGCCGTAATGCTCCGACAATTCATCAAGCGGTGCGGATTTGTAGCTTAGCAAAGTCGTACTAAAACATTTTGACAGATTTTCGAGCGCCGTACACATAAAATCGTTTTGAGGTCAGTAAACACAACCAGAATCATACATAAGGTACACGGGTTATAAGGGCACTTGTTGATTTTCAGAAAAATCAAACATTGATTTAAGTGAGCTGTATTTTCCAAAAAAAAAAAAAAAAAAAAAAAAAAAAACACGGTAATAACGATGGCCCGCTAGCATGCTCTACCAAAAAATAGTGCTTGTTGTGTATCTGATGGACAAAAGCTAACCAGTTCCACACCAATGAAGTTGCAGCATTTTTACAAACCAATTATGGTTCATCCATTTTCATTCAACGATCCGCTTTCGCCCTACTCATTCTCCGTCACCGCCATGCTTTACAGCTATGTGCATATGAAAACAAAGGCACTACGCATGTGCGTTTATCCATATTCTATCGCGATATTTCATTTTCTTATCATTGCCGAACATATATCGGTATTACGATATGATATGGTCCAGCCCTAGTAAATGGACTGGTTCATATATAGCGTTTTTCTACTCTGAGCATTCAAAGCGCTTGTAAATTCACCCATTCGCACAAGCACTTTTTCCTATCCTTTTCTAAGTACTTCCTATCTAACAGTCAGATAGGACTCAGATGCCAGCAAGGTGGAGGTGGAGTACTGGTTTGGGCTGGTATCATCAAAGATGAGCTTGTGGGGCCTTTTCGGGTTGAGGATGGAGTCAAGCTCAACTCCCAGTCCTACTGCCAGTTTTCTGGAAGACACCTTCTTCAAGCAGTGGTACAGGAAGAAGTCTGCATCCTTCAAGAAAAACATGATTTTCATGCAGGACAATGCTCCATCACACGCGTCCAAGTACTCCACAGCGTGGCTGGCAAGAAAGGGTATAAAAGAAGAAAAACTAATGACATGGCCACCTTGTTCACCTGATCTGAACCCCATTGAGAACCTGTGGTCCATCATCAAATGTGAGATTTACAAGGAGGGAAAACAGTACACCTCTCTGAACAGTGTCTGGGAGGCTGTGGTTGCTGCTGCACGCAATGTTGATGGTGATCAGATCAAAACACTGTCAGAATCCATGGATGGCAGGCTTTTGAGTGTCCTTGCAAGAAAGGTGGCTATATTGGTCGCTGATTTGTTTTTGTTTTGTTTTGAATGTCAGAAATGTATATTTGTGAATAGAGCAGGGCGATATGGCCAAGAATATTTATCACGATATATATTTGAAAATTTGCCGATAATGATATAACCGACGATATAATTGATGCGAGACAAAATACAACTCCACAACATTACTAGCGCAAAAAGACAACCTTCCATTTATTTTCACTTAAACAAGAAGCTGTTTTTATGTACATTAAAGCTTTATAAAAATGTAACAGTGCAAATGCAAATTCCTTGCTGAAAGTTTAACCAAAAGGCATTTCCAGTAGAAATGGGCTGACATATCCTGAGCATAACCATGTATAATATCCACTGAAGTTAAAAATAGGTGCTTTGCAACATTAAACTGCAGTGTGCAGTATGCATTTTTCGGACCGTAAGGTGCACGGGATTATAAGGCACATTAAGCGAAACAAAGCAGTCAGATAAATCAAACTTTATTAAACTCATTCTTCTTGCTTCCTCCACTTCTGTACCATTGTTTCATTAATGTTGAATTCTCTGGCAGCTGCTCTATTCCCATGTTGTTGCAGTATATTAATGACTAACCTCGTATTGTGGATGGATTATCTCAGTTGTTCTCCTGACTGAAGTTTGGTCCGTTTACAGCATCCTGCCATGCGATTGCATTTGTCTCTAACCATGAAAACCTTCACGTTAACTTTTATAAGTGGAAAAGTGTTAGTGTTCGTCCTCCAGCTTCACTGTTTACGTTATGCTAACATAGCTGTGTCGCTAGTGATCACGTAGCACATCATTATATACTAGCTAGCCCAACTTCAGTAACCCTACAAACGTCACTGCTGTTTAGTTTCCTGTCTTCATTTATGTTGGAAGTGATAGCAGAGCTGTACGTTGATTTTTTGCAGAAATCTCTCAGTCAGAACATGCAATATCATGCTTAGGTAACTAGCGAAACTAGCGAGCTAACTTCCGCTAGCTTCCTGCTAACTTCTAACTCAGTTAAATGTAATAACTTTTGTTTTCATGGATGCCTGGAAGTTAAACTTTATAGTTACACCTGGTAAAGCAGCAATGCTGATCGTTTTATTAAAGATGAAAGAATTTAGACAGTTTTTAACTCTAAGTGACGCTGCAGTGTTGTTTGACCTGAAGTATACGGAGTTTAGGACCCAGATTACTCCCAGATTTAAGAGCATCTTAGTCCGACAAATATGACAATAACAACGGCCGCTTGCATGTTCTGCAAAAAAAATGTGCTTTGTCGTGTATCTGACAGACAAACACCAAACCAGTTCCACATCACGGAAGTTGCACCATTTTTACAAACCAATTCTGGTTCATCTGTTTCACTCAACAATCGTCCATGTGCGTATGAAAACAAAGGCACTGCGCATGCGCGTTTTACTCCCATTCTATCGCGATATTCATTTCCTATCGTTGCCTAACATTATACGGTATTACCGTGAACGGTATAATATGGCCCAGCCCTATTTGTGAATGTGAGATGTTATATTGGTTTCACTGGTAATAATAAATAATTGAAATGGGTATATATTTGTTTTTGTTCATTTGCCTAATAATTATGCACAGTAATAGTCACCTGCACACACAGATATCCCCCTAAAATAGCTAAAACTAAAAACAAACTAAAAGCTACTTCCAAAAACATTCAGCTTGATATTAATGGGTTTTTGGGTTCATTGAGAACACGGTTGTTGTTCAATAATAAAATTATTCCTCAAAAATACAACTTGCCTAATAATTCTGCACTCCCTGTATATGTGACAAGAGCGGAGTTCTTGTAATGGTCACTTGGGCTTGCTCCAAAACTTTTTCAGTCCCACGGACTGTCCAGCTTTACATGTTTATGCCTGGTACAATAATGTGTCCAACTTGGAAGCTTCTCTCCCCAACTGTATGGTGGAGACTTAAATTTATGTTCTTATAATTCATTTATTTGGATATTGCATTTGGGGTGTAGACAGAAAACTGTCATTCCTGTTTTCTTCTTCTGACCCGTCTCCGTAAAGCTTAGGCTGTGTGGGAAAATTCCAGCATACCAGCAGTTTCTGAAATAGTGGGACTAACTTGTGTGGCACCAACAACCATGCCCCTTTTCTAATGCTCCGTTTGAACCCCGAGGAGTCAACTTGACCATGGCTACATGTTGCTGCCATAACTGCTGTTAGATATTTACATGCCTATCTAATAAAGTGGTAAGAGAGTGTATATGGATTTTTACAGGAAATATTCGTACAGTTCGATTCATAATTTGTTGGGCATATAGAACGTTTTTGTACAGCATCGCAGTGGACTTGAAATCAGCAATAATCAATTTATGAAATGTAACGCTCTAAACCAGGCCCCAGGGACTCATTATTACAGGATATTTTTAAAAATAAAAATAAAATGTTTTTTTTTAAATGCGCCAGCTTGTTGTCATGTAAGTTACATGTTGGCCAATATGTCTGAACATTTCTTGAAAGAAGCGCAGAGAAGCACTTGAAAAGGCTCGCAAACTCCCCACACTTTGAGTTAAACGCCAAAGAAAAAAGCAACCGTGCTGCATTGGTTGTACACCAGGACTCATACCTGAAAACTGGAGCCTAACGATCAGCTTTCCCGTTTCTTTTCTTGCAGTGCGTTACATGAATGTTGAGGGTTTGGTGCTTTGTATGCAGTACACATTATAGTGCTGCCCACAATTACACCTCGAGTCCTGAGTCACTCACTCAAGTGAGTGAGTGACTCAGCGACCATGTTTCATCGACATGATCGCTACCAGAATACATGCTTATTTTACAGCCAAGCAGACAGTGGTTAACTTGGTCTTACCGTCCGCTGACTTGGTGCAGTCCCTTGTTTAGTACGCGTCTTCACACCTCCTGAAGTCCTACTGACTAAACACGCCCTTCGGCGAGACAAAGAACTAAAGGGATTTACTGATAACACAAACATGCACCGCGTATGGTAATACACAATCCCAGTTCACTATTAACAGTGTTTACAGATCTGCGCAACGATCACGCCCAATTTGAACCGGCAGTTTCCTGTACGCCATCATCGTCATCACCATTGTTATAAGACCCTTCTTCGCCTATCTTTTTATGGCGGGTAGCAAACAACTTTAGGTGTTATACCACCACCCTCTGGACTGGAGATCTCCCATCATGCCTTGGGACATGTGCTGCTGTTTAGATGTTCTTGTTCTATTGTTTATGGTTACGTTACTTTTAACTGTTATCTTGAATGTTGTGTTTACGCCGTGGTGCAGCGTCACTGACAGTTGTTGTTTTGTAGCGAGAGTGCTGTACCATGAGTGACTTCTGTTGTGTGTTGTTGAACTTTGAGGCAACATTGTAGCACAGCAAGTGTTTTAATAAGGTGCGCTCCCTATCAGCTTGGGGTTAAATAACAAGCTCAATCTTTCTCTGTGAGCTTCTTTGTTAAGATTTCTCTGAATTTCACAATATAAAACATTGCACGGACACGCTTTGCTAATTATATATTTTGAAAAAGAATGTAGAGGTAGGAATTGCAATTAATATAAATAACATGACGCTAAGCATCGGCCAATGAATGTGAACTAACAACAAGGTCACGGGTAACGCTGCGACCATAGGAAAAAAACCCTAATATGAAGGTATTTTACTGTGCATTTTACAGTAATGTTCTTCTTCTAGAATATCATTAAAGTTACGTAAATAGACTTTGACTTCACATTTTGAATGTAAATTAACGTTAAATCACTGTAATGTAATACAACATAATTGTCTTGATTATTAAATGTATCTGTCTGTACATATGCATATTTAGATTGTTAAAATACATTCACAAATGTATCATGATTTCACAAATATCTGTCCTTTATTTGAAAGATCGAATTCAAATGTAATGCTATGGAAAAGTATATAACATGATCCCTATAAGCTTGTGTTACATCACATAAGTATTATTATCACTGCT